ATTTTGACCCCACGGGGTGAGATCTTGTGTGGAGCCCCAGATCAAGGGAGATTATCAGTGGTCTTGTATGTCTTCCATTTTCTAATTATTGCTCTCACAGTTGATTTCTTCACACCAAGCTGCTTACCTAGTGCAGATTCAGTCTTCCCAGCCTGGTGCAGTCTACAATTTTGTTTCTGGTGTCCTTCAACAGCTCTTTGGTCTTGGCCATAGTGGAGTTTGGAGTGTGACTGTTTGAGGTTGTGGACAGGTGTCTTTTATACTGATAACAAGGTAGGGAGAAATCACATATGTTATTTTTGGTCTTGGCCATAGTGGAGTTTGGAGTGTGACTGTTTGAGGTTGTGGACAGGTGTCTTTTATACTGATAACAAGGTAGGGAGAAATCACATATGTTATTTTTGGTCTTGGCCATAGTGGAGTTTGGAGTGTGACTGTTTGAGGTTGTGGACAGGTGTCTTTTATACTGATAACAAGGTAGGGAGAAATCACATATGTTATTTTTGGTCTTGGCCATAGTGGAGTTTGGAGTGTGACTGTTTGAGGTTGTGGACAGGTGTCTTTTATACTGATAACAAGGTTTTTTTTTCTCATTTTGTCTCTCATAGTTGAGGTATACCTATGATGAAAATTACAGGCCTCTCTCATCTTTTTAAGTGGGAGAACTTGCACAATTGGTGGCTGACTAAATACTTTTTTGCCCCACTGTATTTCGACTGTGCCCTTAAAATGTTACGGCTGCCTTCATCCTTTATGACTCCCCATCAGCCTGTTTCTAAGCATTTAAATATATCTTTCTTATTTTTCGGTCCTCCTCCAATCCCCTTCACAATATTTTCTTTTTCAAGTTGCATGGTGGAGTAGTCAAGTACTCTGCCTCCTTTCATTATTGCTACTCCTTTTGGTGTAAGGCAAATAGAATATAAATACCAAGTTGTGTTAAAAAAAAATTACAGGACTTGGAGAGGGGAGGGAGAAATCACATATGTTATTTTCTACCCTTTGGGCAATTTCCCATTTTAACCAATTGGAAGGCGTATAATTACACCCACCCCCCTCTCAGGCATTTGCTTGATTGCCGCTCATTAAATGCCAGTGTTAGAAGAAGGAGCCTTAGAAAGGCAGCACTTTTAATTCATTATCCTCAAATAAAAGGTCATTCTTTAAAATTTACTTGTCGATAGTACTTAAATTATATCAAAGTGCTACTAGAAATATTTTCCTAAATTGCATGCCATAATAGCTATAATACCTTGAAATGCACAGCAGTTTACCCCCTCCCCTCCCCACACCCAAATTTTATTTTTCAAGTAACTTGTGTTGGTTCAAGTGGGGAAGGGGGCATGTAGTCTATCAATGGGCTTGTTGATCCCAACGATGGGAGAATAAAGACCACAAGGGAAAAATGGGGAGGTGAAAAATGGGAGGAACGGTATGGGTGTTTTGTATAAGGACGTGCCTGCTGGCACCTTGAACAAGAATACTCCACGCTGTGATCTATTGATGGCGGTCCCCCTTCTGCCGAGCCATAGAGAAGGTTGCCCGGTTGAAAATAGTCTTAGAGACATTTTCACTGTCTGGCTGATGGTGGAGAGAAAAGATGGAACTGGTCCCTGATCTCTGGCCATAAAGGGGGATAGCCCTCTCCCATATGTTCCCAAGCAGCCAATACTAAGAGGGCCTGTTAGAGGTTGGGTTCATGAACTGTGCTAAGCCAGTTTGTTTTAGCTATGTTTGCTGAACAAACCATGATGGCCAGTTCACCCACATGGCCAGGCTATAAACAAGGACTTAGAAACTACAATGGCTGGCTTCACATAACATGCAACTAAACGAGCCACACTATGGGCTTAAAACAATGTGTGAACACAACCAGAATACTTAGCAGCAACAGGAAGAGCTACTTCCTATGTGTTGCTGGCCCTACCCTTTAACTCACAGGCTACTTGTTGAGTCAGTGCAATACACATGATATTCAGTGTAGGAAAATGCTAGCTTCAGTTCCTTGTCCACATACACAATTCCTTTGGGTAGATCACTGTTTCTCCATCCATTAACGTTACAGGGGAGGCAGTATGAGAAAGAAACAGTTCAATTACAGATCAGAATAAACCCAATTCACTACTTAGATTTTCAGTTTTGATAGTGAGAATTGCCACTTTACATTGTCTGCTCGGGGCCAGCTCTGAGAGCTGGAAGAGATGGCTTGTTAAGGGTCCCTTCTCTCAGGGAACATCATCTACAAGGACTCCATAACTGAGCTTTCTAAATGAGCGCCTCCTGCACTTTAGAACAGGTTGACCCTTAATATTCAGACCACCTCCATGTGCAAAGGACTTGGTTCTTCAGGAAAGTATTTGGGGATACTGAGGATTAATTGACCTGTTAGGTGGCACAGTTAGGAATGTTATTTCTGCTTTAATGTCATTTTTGTCTGATGTAAATTGCTCAGAACCATTTGGAATAGAGCAGCATACTGAATTGTAGCTAAAAGAACTTTTAAAAAGCTCTTATGCTTATTGGCTTGTAGACAAATATGACAATCATGTTAGTATTTTCAGAATACCCTACTGGAACTTCAACATATGTAGCTGAATTAGAACAGTCTTCACTAACTTAGTGCTTTCCAGATTTGATTTTAACTCCCATAATTCCCAGCCAACATAGCCATGCTGGCTGGAGATTAAGAGAAGGCAATCTTTATCGAAACTGTTGGAGTGAACTGAAGCAAGAATCTCCTGCTCGCTAAACATGTTCTTTCCCACTGAGCTACATCATCTTACTATCCTTATTGATTAAAAGTTAAGGTAGTAAATGACCCATCATTCTTACAAGACAAGTGATGCACGTCCAGAGATGGCAAAATGGACCCAAGCAGTAACTGGCATTATATAAAGTACAGTGAGTAATTTGTTGGCAAGTATGGGCTACTCTAATTCTTTTCTGTGGGCAGGATTTATTAAAAGTAAATTAATTTTAAAACCATATCAATTAAACAAAACAGAACAGAACCTGCAAATAAAGCACATTTGCCAACTTGTGTCTGTGCCAAGTATTTGCTTAACATTTTGAAATCTTTACAATTTGGTTAACTTCCCATTTCTGTACAAAGGTTTATAGTGATGTGCAAAATCATTGCTTTTAAAAGCTAAGTCTAAGACTTGGAGGTATCAGAGAGGTATGCTTGGAACCCACATCACAGCTGCAGAAAATGGCAGGCACATCTCCTCTTCTTCCAGCGTCCAAGGAATTATTTGTGCTTCTGCCATGGCCAATGAAGATAGCAACTGAACAAAGAAGGCATTTTCCCAGAATGCTTGAGAAAGCTTCGCCTAATTCTCCCTCACTGATTTATCAGTATAAATACCACCCTCAGTTAAAGAAAGATCTATAGCACTATAAATCAGGTAGTGCTGTACTTAACTGGGCTTGGAGTCATTTAAAAGCTTGCAGGAGGATACTTCTAAAGTGAAATGTCAAGAGTCATCTTCTCTGTTTAAAATGAATGGGGGAAGTCCTTTGGAAGACGCTGAAAATACAGGCCAAAGATCTCCTTGAGGCCAACCCAAGTGGGATTAAACAGTGCACCCCAACTGAAATACAACTTTCAGCTTTACCTTGAAGAAGATTCCTTTCTTGTCCTTACGCATAAACTCTATGATTTTATTTGATTCACTCTTGCCTCTCTCTCTACAACTGTTTGGTTTATTGTACTTCAGTAACAAGGAAATCCAGACTTTTCCTGCTCCACAACTGCCCATTCATCCACCCACCACAAAATGGCAAAGGAATCTAAGTCTAATTTAGAATTACCAAGAACTCAGAATGGTATTTCTTGGCAAATTTTTCATGTACAACAATAATGATGCACCTATAGCTATTTCCATTGGTTACTTTGCCATTTTGTTACAGAACAAAGGAAAAATTACACAGCTAAACTGGGGAGAGGGGGTTGGACACATTTCAAGGCAATTGTTTTATCTCAAACTTTGTGTACATCTGATTCTACAGCACTGAAAGTATACTTATGGATAGGAAAAAAATGTATACTGCATATATTTACATATAAGCCCATCTGCAGATAAGCCAATCCACATTTTTCATGGTATTTTTGTTATAAATTTGAGGCTCTGCTTAGCCGTGGATGGGCTTATATGCAAGTATACATGAGATATACAGGTACTTTTAAAAAGCAGAGGGAAAAACCTACCGTATATACTAGCGAATAAGCCCATCCATGGGTAAGCCAAACCCCATTTTTGGGGTGTGTTTTGACACCTAATATTCTTGGCTTATCTGTAAGTATATACAGTAATTAATTTCATGAATGAATTCATGTTGCCCCAGGTATATTTGGTCAATTATACACATTAAATAATACTCTGAAAATTAAATTAGATACTACATTGATGTAAACTGAATTGTACTTAAAAGATCCTGGGTTCTCTTGTCTCTCACAAAATCAGCTATGCCCACCTCCAAGCTTCTTAAAAATGAGGCAATGGAATGAACCATACAGCTATTCTATACATCATCCATTTCAAGAGAGGCAAGTCACTCATACAAATAAAAATGAATATAATTTCTGCAATATTAGCCTCTTTTCATTCTGTACTGCTTTGTCATTTTCTTTTTAACATCTTCATATCACACCATGAGCATGGGACAATTTCCCCACCCTACAACATCTAAGTGTTGTGACATGGTATGACTGTTGAGTTTCTGCCCAACTTGCACAGGAATCCTATCAGCAAAAGAGTAACCTTGGCTGATGTCACCCACCCTACACTCCAGTTGCTTCCTGAAGACATGTCTGATCAAGCATATATCTGTATGCTATCTCTGAGGAACTATCATTCTAAGCTCTGAGGAAAAGGAACATCCAGAACTGGAAAGCTAGATAACACATACCATTTCACAAATGCTGAAAAATCAAAGTACTGTTTTTTCCATCCAGAACAGAAGTTAGAAGGCTCTAGTGCACTGTGTACTTTCTGACAACCATGTTTTTCTCATGAATAGAAAACAGAAAGTGGTTTAGGAGGAACCTGATAAGATTATTTATTCCAGAAGCAAGATGAAAACAGGACAGTGGAAAAGACCAATTTAGTTATGACAGTTTGTCTGAGCAACTTCCACACCCTAATTTTCACTCAAAAGCCACCATCATGTGCTGCCTGATAAACTAAGTCCTTGTAAATGCTTGGTTTGCTTCTTCTGCATGTTCAGCTGAAGTGGCGACCAAGACGAGCAGATCTGTAGTCAAAGCGGAGCTGTACAAAGGAATGGAGAATATTCTTCTCTAGAATAGCCAGCTGCTCTCCTGAGCAGACCTGCTTCAAGTTATCTGGGGCTACAACAAGGAGGTTGCAAAGGGAATGGAGCGTGTCAAAAAGCTGCAATACCAACGCAACCTGTGACAATCAGGAAAAGCAAAGCAAAATTCAGTGTAAATATCAAAGGGTGCTTTTTAGAAAAACAAGATCAGCTTAAAGATTATTAGCAATTACTTATATACTTCCTAATGCAAGACTTTTTTGTCATCTTGCTCAGGGACACAACAAACCTGAGAGAGAGGTCATTTAATTGTGCCCATTTTACAAACATAAGACCACAGCTTACCTATGCCAGCCAGTTTAATACACATGGGCCATATCTCAGATTGCATCTGCAATAATAGCCAGTACTCACCTTGAACTCTTTGGCACACTTTCTATATTCAGCCACATCACAGATTGCCGACATGCCACCCATGCAGCTATAGGAATATTGCTGAAGATGCTCATAAATGAGGCGATGGAAACGGACACCAAACTCCATCAGAACACTATCCACATTCTTGCCATCCATAGAATTCCTGATCTTTTCCACTTGCTTTCTAACATAGGCACAGACTTTGGCACATGCCTGCAACATAAACAAGGGTGTTAGGGAGAAAATATTCATTTCAATATGAAAGCTACAAAATGGGAGTGAGGAGGGTCTCTGGGCAATACCTAGGGTACCAACTTTCGTTCAATAAAAATAACTAGTATATCACTTTCAGATGATTTTTCCACGACAAATTCTTTCTATCTCTCTTGTGTTAAAAGATTTTAAGCCTTTGCAATGGATATTTGCCTGCTTATCATAGAAAAATCTTGGTGATCCAGCCAGTACCTGAAGTAACTACATTGCAACTTATTACACACATCTATAATTGAAACTGTATTAATGTTCCGGTCAGATTGTTTGAACAGATCTGTGTTGCCTCAAATATCTTACCCATTATATATTTTGTTATTTACAAAACACTCTGGCTTTCTAATATACACACAATTTTAGAAGAAATGAATCCTGCCAATATCAATGGAAAGGTAATCTCAAATACACCTGCAATCTTAACTTGGGAACAAAAAGTAATGGTTTTAATATGACTTACACAGAAACACAATCACACACATCCACCAACCTACAACCTTCAAACAAATATACTATAACTGGCTAATCATAAGGTCATTCAGGTTCTCAGAATCATTCTGTATATACTCTGTGCAATACAGAAAATGAGCTTTGAATCCCAATAAAAAATAAATTGCAACTAAAATATGCTACTTCACAATGTAGGCTTTTTTTTTTTTTGGTCCCTTCAAGTCAGTTGTTGACTCCTGGTAACTGCCTGGACTAGTCCCGGAGTTTTCTTGGCAATGTTTTTCAGAAGTGGTTTGCCATTGCCTCCTTCCTAGGGCTGAGAAAAAGTGACTGGCCCAAGGTCACCCAGCTGGGTCCATGCCTAAGGTGGCACTAGAACTCATGGGCTCCCAGTTTCTAGCCTGATACCTTAACCATTTCACCAAACTGGCTGTCTTAATTTAGGCATAATTCATTTTAAATACTTTATACCAAATATGAGAACCAATGGTATAGTAGGTTAGGTGCTGGACTAGGAGCAAAGAGACCTATGTTCTAGTCTTCACTGAGGTATGGAAACTAGCCAGGTGACCTTGGGCCAGTAATCCCCTATCAGCATCAGGCTCTGCAACAAGCCAGCTGACAAACAAAACTGTTGACCGCTTTGCTATAAGAACTAGACAAGCAGGCCCTGCAACTAAGCAGGACTGCAACAACTAAGCAGGATGCTAAGCAGGCCCCGCAACTAAGCAGGATGCTAAGAAAAACAACTCTATACCTAATATACAGTACAAAATTGTACATTATCTGAATTTCTTAATAGATTTTGGATCTGATTATGGCAACATAGAGTTCTAACTCTGTCCTTTATGCTCTCAGAAAAGGGATGAGATGATTTTCACTCTTGCTTTTTGTATATGGCCCATTACAACTGAGATGTCATAAATTATTCTACAGGATGGGTGAGTGATTTGACTGCTGGTGGTAAATAAATGCTAAATCATGATGGCAAATAATGTGGCTTAGTACACAGAGGACACAGACTTCTTGCAAGAAAACTAAATTATCTGAAGAAATACAATTATTCTGAAAAAATTATTTCTATATTAACATTACATCAATGATTGAAAGTATTGAATGTACTGTATAAGGAAATACTACTGTTCTCCCCAGCTTAAATCACACAAAGAAACTGCATCAGAATTCCTAGGCAAGTGGAAGAAAACATGACTATTAAGCGAGGCAATAAAATGTATACACCAAGTAGAGTTAACAACTGTAGGGAGGAACACCAGCAGCAATCCAATTACTCGCTGTGCCACTTGTCACGGCCTACGCTATATATAGTTACTCACGTTAGTGTACTGAATCAGAACGTTGTTCTCATCTTCTGGTTTGAAATCAGTCTTCTTTTGTTCAGCTGCCAAGATGTGCTTCATCTGCCCAATCATGCAATTCAGTGTCCTTCAAAGTTAAAATTCCAAGTGGTAGTTTTAGAGAGAGCATTCTGAATTTTACAAAGCTCCAACGTGATCCTCCTAAGTTGCAGTGAAATGCACATGCATATCTATTTCCATGAGACTACAGAAAAGATGGAGCACTAGAGTGTTAAATTATTATTTTCATTATTTAACATTTAATATACTGCTTATGGCAAATTTATAAAAACACAATATTCAATCCTGTTCTTAATACAGCAGTACAATGATGGAAAAAATGAAAGATAAACTAAAATATGAAATCTTCACTTGCCTATCTATGCCCATATCCAATTTCACCTCCATTTGTTCCGTGATATCCTTTTTCTTCTGAAGACATTCAGAAAGCTTAGGAGAAGAGCTGTGATAAATTAAGGGGTGGAAAGTTATTATCTACCATCTATTATAATGCACCCATCAACTGCAGACACCCTGGATTCCAAACACTTAACTTGTACAAGGATTTTCTAGCTCATCTCCCTTCTATTCTCACCTCTCAGAAAATAATTTTTCATGTCGAAATTATGTACAGAACAATCTAACTGATGTGAAAGGGATACTTGGGGGAGCTACTAGGGATACAGAATGCAGACAAATATAGAAAAGCATTACATATTTTAAGAATCTAAGAAGAACCCTGCTGGATCATATCAGAGGCCTATCTAGGTTCAACATTCTGTTTCTCAAAGTAGCCGACTAGAAACTTCAGGGAAGCCCACAAGCATATCTATGGATAAAACAGCACTAGCTTTATTACTTACAGAAAATCTAAACACTGGTGTGAAGTGAGGAGAGGCAGGCTTCCGAGAGGAAGGCTAATACTTTGCAAGGGAAACCATTGATACAGTATGACTAGACTAAAGCTATTTAAATGATGGCTCTGCACTTTTAGTATGGCTTTACTCAGGATGATTTTGACATAAGGAATATTTATGAATCAGAATGCAAATTCTACATGGCTTTTGGCATGAGGATACAATAAACAACCTACCTCACCAATGGCATCAGATGGTCATTGAACTGCTTATCAAAAAGATGAAAAATGGTATTAGCCTGGTTTACAATATCCAGGAAATAAAGATTTGCATTCTTGGCATCTGGAGAAGGAATACCTAAAAGTGAAATGAAATGTCAACAGATAAAATATTTCATTGGGACTAAGAAAAAAATCCAATTAACAGTCCATCAGGAATCCTGAATAACAATTATTTAAAAAATACAACTAAGCATGGGACAAATATATCAACCATTTTAAGGAGGATGATTTATTTTGCAAAGTTTATCTTTTAGGGATGTGCATGCTTTGAAAATGATTCAGAAAAAGGTGCTTTTGTGTAAGCCCAAAAAACACTGTGACTGTTTTCAAAGTCGACTCCCTTAAGTTAATACAACTCTTAAAGCCGCCACATCTTTTTTCAGACTCACATGGAAACCTAAAGAAAGGAATGCTGGTTTAATGAACAATACAGAGGTTCTGTCCTTTTGCTAACTCTGAAGTACATCTTCTGAATCATTTTCAAAGCGTGCACAGACCTAATATTTAAACATGTTGTCTATTTGGAACCAATAAACAAACTAAGGTGGAAATAAAATACATCACAGAATTAAATAATCTTTTAAATCCTTTTAAAATATGTGGTTTTATAGTTTACTGTTGCTATTGATTATAAATTTATTTCTATCAATCATCACATTTATCGACTACTTTATCCTGCAATGTAAAATAGAAATAGATAGCTTTCCACTTACCAGCCAGCCCTGTTTCCACAGCATAATCAATGTGCTCAATACACAAGAAATCCACAAGCAAAGAGAAAATCCTGAAAGCATTCTTTGGCAAATCAGAAGGATCAGAAAGCTTTAAAAATGAAAAGCATCGACTTCAGCTTTTTTCTGGCAAGAATAGGTTACAAATCATTTGCAAGTAATTTCAGAAAGCATATTTACATGACTACATTCAAACAAGTATAATTGTGGAGGGATAAGCCAACATTCACGTATTAGGTTCTTGCTAGTAATGATCCAAAATATTTTACCTCCACTTTTTGATAAAGTTTCTAGCTCTTGTATTAAACTGAACAAGTTGGAAGATATCCAATAAGCCTCAAATACTGCTTTTCTTATCAGAGTTCTAGACAATCTGTTGCACTCCTATAAAGCAACATTTCTTGCCCCTCTTGTTCATCTGACTCTCAAAAGAGGTATTTTGAAAGATATTAAACATTTGAAAGATATTAAAAGACAATTTAAAATGCTGGAGCGCCAAAATTCCAAGATGGCCTTTGGGATCCAGACTGAACCTATAATAAATGGAGAGCACAGGCATATTGTGAGGGCCTTAATAATAAGCTGCAATTTCCCTCGACTTTTTTCAGTCCTTCAATTTCCCTGAAAAGTTTTGATATATTTTTTTCGTCAGTTCATGAAATAATCTGCTACTTTTTCTACTTAAAATAACTTAACAAAGAAGCTCATAAAGACAGCATAAAAACAAAGATAATAAAATTATTTTAGAAACTGAATTACAGTTAACCAATAAGGGTATATTGTTTGTATGTGAATTCTAATATATAATAGCTAGGAAGCTTTGTATTATGCATATACACACCCTATGACACCTTTCAAAAGCTTGCTTAGTTTCTTGTAATAAATTAACCACAACATCCTGGGACAAGAAAGTTTCACCATGGGTATCAATGCTTGGGCCCAAAGGCAGGTTGGTCCGCTGTCGTATTCTCTCTTTGAGGTCTTGAATGCTAAAAAAGAAATGCCCCAAACAGGATCATTTATTGAAGTCAGACTTTGCTCTCATTAATTTTTCAAATATTATCAACAACAAAATTACATATTAAATACAACAAACAAATAACTTTCACTGGGAAAAAAAAGGTTTCTTTATAAAGTGACATTCTTTGACATGTACCATCCTTTAAAAAACAGCCACTTTCTCCTGTGATCCCTCAAGATCCACAACACTGATCAAGAGCACCTTCTATGGCTGGAGACAGACAGTCATTCATAAGAAAATTCAGGATGTTATGGCAGAGTCAAACATATTCATGAGTAGATAAGCACTAAGACTGGCAGCTCCTTTAAAAACAGTATTTCAGAATTTGTGGGAACACATACAATGCACTTTTTCAATCACTAGAGCAGCTGTGCCTTTTTCCAGGCTCACATAGCTGTTTCAGAAGCCAATCCTGGTTGTGCAGGTTCCAAAACAGACTTGGTAAAAGACACAGTTCTAACAGTTCAAACAGAGATGCTGTGTATGCATTCTCTTAAATCACCACCTTTTCTACGACAAAAATGCATGGCAGGAATGTGGAAACTCCTTTCCACTGATGTATCAAGTGCTGGGCAAAATGTATATATGCAATGTGCATAAAATAGTTCATATTTTAAAAGGCTGGCATTATACTAGCTAATTCGGTAATGTATTAAGGTGTTTGTTTATTTCCTATTGCCTCTTCTAAGGATTGTTAGAACAGGCAAAACAGAAAACTCCAAAGAAACTACACTGTTAACACCTGTTAGGATATTTATGGTCATATCACAGATCACTGCATAATTTCAACCTGGTTTTGTAGCTGACTTCTTCAAAGAAGATGAAAAAAGAATGAAGGAGTACATTGTATTTTTATACCATAGAGATGTCAACTTCTAAGATACCTTAGAAGATATATCCTTGTTATAAGAACTTTTAGTACTATAAGACAAAATTAGATCAGCACTGCAGTCACTAGGAAGTTGGAAGACTAAGGAATTGATGGAATATCTACCAAAATATGGAAGCAACAGAAAAAGAATCAGTAAAACTTCTGACCAAAGTATGCCAGGGAATCTGGAAAATGACACAGTGGCAACAGACTGGAATAGGTCAGTCTACCTACCAATTTGAAAGGAGATTTAACAGAGTTTACACAATATCCTTAATTTACATGCTAGCAAAATAATACTTAAGATCATCTAACACAGATTAGAGTCCTACATGGAAAGGGAGATGCCAGATGTTCAAACTGGCTTTAGAAAAGGCTGAGGAACAAGTGGCATCACTGCTAGCACACACTGGATCACTGAGAAAACCAAAGATACCAAAAAGTTAATATATGTTCCATTCATTATAGAAGGGTCTTCAGTTGCATCAACCATGTCAAGCTGTGTAATATCCTTAGGAAAATGGAAATCCCAGCACCTCTCATTGTCCTCATATGAAACCTATACTCAGGGCACAAAGCCATGGTCCAGACAGAATATGATGAAACAGAATAGCTCCAGGTCAGCAAAGGAGTGAGACAAGGCTGTATACTCCCCTTGTTTATTCAGCCTATATGCTGAATATATACTGAGGGAAGGTGAGTGTGGTTTTAAAACTGGAGGAAGAAACATCAATAATCTGTGCTATGCTATTGATACAACTCTGAAACTGAAAATGCAAATGATCTGCAAACTCTAGTAATGAAAATCAAGGAGCACAGTGAAAAAATGGGACTAAAATTAAATATAAAAAAGACCAAACTAATAATAAAGGCACAGCAACCAGCCTTAGAATTGACAATTGAGTGGTCAAAGTGGTGGGTAGCTCTGCCTTTTAGGATCACCTATCAACAGAAAAAGATCCAGTAGTCAAGAAATATGCCCCAGACTACCTTCCTGCTAGAAAGCCTTGAAAGAGATTTCAGATACTGGGATAGGTCTATACCTACAAACATCAGAATTGTGCAGGCAACAGTTTTCCCTGTGACACTCTATGGACAAGAAAGTTGAACTTTGAAGAAGCAAGATAGGAAAAGTGATGATGCTGTAGAAAGTTGGTGTTAGAGAAGATTCCCAAGAATAGAATGGATAGCCAACAAAACAAACGAATGGATCATACAAGAAATCAATACAGAGCTTTCACTCAAGGCACAGAGGGCCAGATTCATATTATCTTACTTTGGACACATTATGTGAAGACCTAGTTCTCTTGAGAAATTTATAATGCTGGGAGAGATGAAAAAAAGGAGAAAACGAGGATGACCAGCAGTGACGCAGATGGATTCAACTACAGCAGTGACTGGTGCACAGTTGGAAGATCTGAAGGACTAGGTTAGGGACAGATCATCATTGAGAAGGTCCATGTGGCCACTAAGAATTGATACTCACATAATCAATCAATCAGTAACTGTCATTATACAACTAAGCCAATATTAAAATAAGCATTACTCACAAATTTTAAACAAGGTATGCATACTTAAAGAAGTTTATAAATACTGCAAATTTTACAAGTATATAAGGCAACAATAATAAGATTAAAAAGTAGTACTTACCCTCCACTTCCAATAGCTCTCTTCTGGTGGTTTTTGGAATCATAATAGCGCTGCAAAATCATGGAGCTCCTGCTTCTCAAATAACCAATTTCCACCTCAATGTAATTCTCCAAGTAGGAAACAAAGATGGATTTGATAAGCTTAGACAGGAAAGTCTGCTTATCAGTGCCCAAGTTAAACTCCATCAATTTGCTTGAAAGATTAGTAGTCCTTTATATTAAGGCCAGGAGCAAGAGAAGAAAACAGTGTAGTTGCAGGAGGTAAAATACAGGTATAACATCTATAAATGTTCACTTCTTAGGGGGCACAGTAAGGAATCAGAATGCACCTAGCCCTATTATGGAAGTAGGCAGACCTCAAGCCTATTTTACCTAGAACCCCAAGATCCACCAACTGGAGCTTAGAGCAAAAGACAAACACTTAAAATTAAAGAATTCTCAGCCCAGGAATTTGTTTTGATTATGAGAAATGAACACAGCTCATAGTCCTTTCACATAAAAACACCACAATTCCTTTCAGTAAAGTAACTGAGGGTGGGAGCGGGGGCGTCATTTTGTTGCAGCTATTGTTAAAACAACTGGAAGTCAGAAATTCTTGCTGACCTACTGGAAATCACCCAGAGATCTACCAGTAAGCAAGCATGGACCTTAACAGTTCACTGAATTAGAGATTACTAGAAAATCCCCTAGTAAGAACAAGAGATCTTTAATCAATCTTTTTATATTCCCTTACGGAATGCCAAAACCAATTCTTCCCAACTGACTTGTATTTGTCTCGAACAAGAATAGCCCATGCTATTCAAACAGTTCCCCACACCCTGGCACTCCAGCCCCAGTTGATTTAACACAAAGATTAGTACTTCATGAGCAAGGCAGGCACTCACTTTTATATGTCAGAGATGAGAGTAATAGCAGGTTTCACACATAATGTTAAGTTATAATGTACCTTGTTTCTAACTTAGCATAACATCAAGCCAACCACTGTTTACTTTTTGGAAACAAATCATAATTTGAACACATATTTTAGTGTTGATTCATGAATCCAGGCTTTCATTTCTTTTTTCTGATGTCTGAACCCAGAACTTATTCCTGGTTTCTTTTGTACTCCACCTACAGTAACTGTTCTGGGTCAGACAAAAGAAAATTAAGAAATGAAACCAGAAATTGGCTGGAAAATCCATGATTAATTTGATTACGTGTATAAGTAATTCCATCTCATTCCTAATTCTTAAAAAAAAACTATGGTTAAAGCAAATCCTGCCTTAGCATTATGCACAAACAGAGCCAGTGCAATCATTTTTCACTCCAGCCACCCATCTGCCACTTCTCTATAATTAGGGCTTTGGGGAGGCAGGCTGTAAAAAATAATATTTCATATATTCATATGGTGCAACCAATAAAAGGTGCTTTTTATTTCCACATTTCTTCTGACATTAACTTTGTTCTGAATGCTATAGCAAGGAACACTTCTATCTTTACCCTTTAATATCTGGCAAAGTAGACCACAGTTCCCAAACAACTAGACACATTACTGTATAAATTAATCCAAGAGAAAAACAAATATTCAGCATAAAGAACAGTCCACAATTCCAAGAATAGGTAGCATCTACAGAGAACTGCAGAAGGACGAATCAAATAAGGAGACCAGACCTGGCCTTTTACAATTTTATCCTTTAAGTATTTTAAAATAGAACCAACCTTGTGTACAGTTCATAGAGACTCTGAAGATATTGTTCTGCATCTGATTTCTTATGTTCTTCTAACTGGTCTTTTATATAACTCTGTGAAATAAAGGCCAGTATTCTATTATTTATTTCCATTAAGAATACAAGTGCCTAGTATATATTCAATGCAGTTTAATTCAGTTATGAAATTTCCATCACAATCAGCTCCAACATTACACTGCATCACACATTTCTGCATTGTTTAAATTTTGCTTTTCACTGTAATCTAACCATTGTTATTCCTCTTTGTTCCACAGCCTGGGTAGGAGAGGGGAAGGATAGAAAAGGAATATTGCACAGATATCCTAATACCTTTTGCATTATTTTCACCAGATGTACATATGGACTTCCTATTGAACAAATCTCTCTCATTCATTACAAAAGAAATACCAACATTTTGGCAAGCTGTTCTCTAATATTAAGTACAAAAATGCAGAGATCGATCGATCGATCGATCTATCACATTTATATGCTGCCCATCTCCCCCAGAGGGTGACTTTGAGCGGCTTACAAGAAGCATTAGGCTTCAACCTTCTTACACATTCTTTTTCTGTCCCTATGCTTATGAATATAGTTAGAAAATCCAAGAATCCAAACATATAGCAAAACATCTCCTAAGCAGAGGAATAGCAGCAAACATGACCACTATAAGCAACAATCAAAAGAAGCAGTTCTGTAGCATCGCAAGATCCCTAGATAGTTGTCTGAAGTAGCATTCTGTTTTAAATACAAAACATCCCATATTCTTCTCTTAACCATGCCCATAAAGATCCTCTGCCATAGGCTACTATCCAAGTATAACCTGGAATCACAGATTGTGTTTGTGTAAACCATCCAAGACTGTAGGATACAACTAAAGTTTGAATCAAGAGAGAGAAAGTGTGCATGTGTAAAGGACCAGGCATGTACAGCCTTCTTCAATCTGATGTCTTCCAGGTATCTGGGACTTCACCTCCCATAATTCCAAGCCATCATGTCCATTATCAGATGATGTCCACATCAAATGGAGAGAAAGGTTTGGGAAAGACTGGCACAAGCCACCAATCATACATAATGCATTCTTGCACCAAAAAAGCTTGAAATTAAGGATGGAAAAACTGGTACAGGTAACCATACTATAAAGATATGTCATATACAAAAAAAGTTAACCATTATGTTGGCAAGTAGCTTTTTTAAAAAAATAGGAACACTTGTAAGTTACCTGAAGCCTGATTTCAAAGATATTCTGAATAAGTTTGGCCATTACAGTCTCTGGACTACTAAATACATCTCCAACTTGTTTGTTCACATTCTGGCACAGAATGGCTGTATCTTCAAAAATATCACTTCTCAAATAGGCACCCTGAATCACAGAAAAATTAGAAGAGGGTTTCTACATCAAAATATTTATATCTACAGGTATTTTGCATAAATGTATACACAACATAATATCTAACCCAAACCCTTACCTCTTGGCACTGTTTTATATACACATCAACACAGTGGGAATAGCCCTATGAAAAAAAAGAGATTCTGCAATTTAGTTCAATGTTGATTATAGTTCATTAATGTTTAAAATTAGTAAAAACAAAGGATAGAGATTATCTAGTTTTCTGCCTTTTTCTTTTTCTTCTCAGTCTCTTGGATGACAACAGAGCCAACCAAAATAATAGCTGTTGGTCATAAAGTAAAGCCTTTTATCTACCATACATGTTACTGTATTTAATTTCCCCAAATCAAGAGTCTCAGCACCATTATTTCCTGAGCTGAATCAATAGCAATGGACCCATTGCTATTCATTCAGAATGAGAATTTTAATGTGCAATGTTCAAGATACCAAACTTTTTCACCCTGAGATATATAAGATCAGAATCAACATATACTACTAAATGTCTTTACTGCTCCTAATCCAGTTTAGCTATAGCCACTGAGCTGTTATACGAACACTTACAAGCATATCCAAAATATGCTCAATTTGAGTAGCATGGAAGGAAAGTTCCACAAAGTTCCACTGAGAACCTCTGTCTATAACAGCTATCAGTCTGAACTTGCAGACAAAAGTCTGACTCAAACAGTTCTCTATCAACTGCATGGATCAAAATGAGACATAGAGAAGAGATTGATTGTTAGCAAAGTTTTTTTAGAAGGACAGTTCAAGTATCATACTGATGCTAGAAAGGAATTAACGAAGAAATCATCCAACAGTCATACCTGTAATGACAAAAGAAAGTACTTTTCCTAGAATCAAAATGCATTGGTTCACTAGAACACAAAGAACCAATAGGAACTAAATAATCTGATGCATTAATGGCTGCACAGTTCTACTGGAAAAAATACAGCATCTAAAAAGGTTTATTCTGAGTCCAAACTATTCATATGCTTCTATATAAACATAGTTTATCAGAAGCAAATTCTACAGAGGAGCTTTTGTAAATATGCACACGCTACAGCCTTACAGACTTCTTACCTTAAAGTGAAGCAAAACTGCAGTTACTTCTCTCATCCTGTAGATTTGCCCCCTTCTTTGTGCATTGGTAAACTCTTGGATTAGTTGGCACTCTAAATCATGGTACTTACCTGAGTTCAAGGAAGAAGGTGAAGAAAATAAAATAACATGTCAGGGTTGATTAACTAGAAGCAGTAGAATTATTTTCAAACAAATTAAATTAAAAAAGCAATCTTACTTGCTATTTTAGATTTTACTTCAGAAAACCTGTGAAAGAAAGAAAGAAAGAAAGAAAGAAAGAAAGAAAGAAAGAAAGAAAGAAAGAAAGAAAGAAAGAAAGAAAGAATAAAGCTCATGCTTTAGCATTTCAATCCTCCAACCACAAGACATTTATGCAGTGTACTTTTTAGCTGCAATGCTTCTATTTTAGCTATCCAACACCAAGAACAAAGCAAAATGCTTTTAAAAAATTAATGCATGAATGCCATGATCATGTACACCATATAATTACATACTTACAAAAAATGAGATTAAGGGCCACTCCCTGTCAAGTTATACTTGGTAGCAACCACAGATATTTGCAGCTAGCATATGAAATACAAAGAGGAACAGGTAAACCAGTGCTCAGCACAGGTTCCAAGAAAGCACCTTTCAATTACTACCTCAGACCAGAGACTCACAAGAGAAGCCAAGTGTTGGTCAATAGTGCTAAGGTTCAGGTCTCCAGCTATGCAATCCTAACAACAGCAGCTAAACTTGTCTTTTGCAAATAAGTGTGAAACTACAGGCTCAGAGATACTGGTAGTAGATGCATAAGAATCGTATACATTTAAAAAAAAATCTTACTGATGTAAACTAGATTTAGCTATATTGCCTTTTCTTTTTCTTATTTATGCTTATAATTTCTTTTCCTTATTATCTCTTACTTCCTTTTCGAGCTTTGCATAATATTATTTATCCCAAAAGAATGTAGTGTGATAGGTATGTATTTTAAACGCAATTTCTAGCAGTGTCACTGACATCAAGCTTTCCTATTTTCCAAAGCAATGTAGTTCTCCTTTATGTCTAAATCTATCATAGGAAACATCCTGAGGTTTTACTTCTACTACCAGTCTCAGTTACACACTATAGTTTGAGGATCTGAAGGCCAGGATCCAAACAGAATGACAGAAAAGCTTCCTTAATAAACAAAAAAAAAAGGTAATCTTCACATAAGAAATAAATGAATCTATAAAGGAAAATAATATATCTGCAGAACAGTAAACCCAAATATGTGGAAAACAAATACTAAACTGCAGAATGTTGCATTCTTTCTCTTCCTCAAGCAGAGCTGTGTAAATACATGGAAAAAATGATAGACATAGATTTGGAAGACCAAGCTGAATTCCCTCTCCAGCCATGCTCATTGCTGGCTTTGAGTTAATCACAGTTTATAGCCCAGTTTATCTTGCAAGGTTTTGCTGAGGATACAAATTAAGATTGGACAGAGAGTTATCACATGCAGTATTCAGCTCAGTAAACTCCAAGCACACTTGGATGAATCACATTTTCTAGATCCATTCCTCTAGGTCTCCCGGCTTGGCACAGGAATCAAAATTGCTCTGGGAGCCCAGTGGAATGGGGGGTTTTTTGCTTGAACCCCATGCATCCACTCAAAATCCAACCTGTGATCCCTATGGATTGTATTGGATATATCAGCAAGCTATAATAATGTTAATAGTGTATCCTTCCGACTGTTACAGGTCTGCAGTGGGTTCACTTTTATATGTATGATCACTTCCAGAAAGTGGTGCTGGCTGCTTATTCCTCTGATCTATAAAATTTATGCTATAAGATTCTACAAGGCTTTATTTTATTTCATATTCTGATTAATGAAAAGCCATGTGGGAAGTCACTGAAAATGTAGACTGAAGTATCATCAATACTCAGGTGATATATAACTGGATACAACAGGGGATCTGCCCTGTTGTGTAGTAGTTAATCTGTTCTGGAAGAGGCTGTACTCTTCTAAATAGAGACTGGCTATCTTTTTGCAACTCAAATTTCCACCTTTTAAAAAAATATTATTTGTGGCAATTGGGGCCACAGGCACACAGCAGAAACAAAACAAAGTCTCATAAGTGGATGCTACCACTTTAAGCAAGATGATTATTGAGAGGTTACTGATCAAGATATGCTAAGCTTATTTGAAGTTTTAGCACATTTTATTTATTTGTTTTCATTTGAATTTGGTAGGAAATCACACTGCCAAATTTTGGTGGCATGATCTTCAGGGTCATAAAACGGGGCTTTAGGGACAGTTTACAGCCCACTTACAGCCTGCAGTTCACAGGTCAGATTTTCAATGTTTAAGTGTTTGTACATCCAACTCTGTCACTGGATTCTCTTGCAGCTAAGAATGCTTTTCATCAGATGCCCTAATATACCAAATGAAATGAGATGGTTTTGTCCGAGTTATCTATCCTCTGGTAACCTCCAAAAATGCATTACTGCAATGCACTATATGTGCAGCTATCTTTGAAAATGGTCCTATAGCTACAGGTAATCCAAACTAGAGGAGTATATTAAGTCAGGGCTTTTGCAGTGGGGATGCTGGATACAGAATGCCATCTCCAGAGATTCTGGCCAAAGATTACGCTGTAGCATTTTCAAATGAACACTTTTTCTATTCCCTAAACCAGCAGTTCTCAAAGTCAAATAAATTTCAGAGGGTCCCTGAAGTCAAACGAATAAATATTTTAAAATGTCTCAGTTTTTTATTTCTAATACAGTAAATATCAGTAGATATAATCCACATAAACCAAAGCTCTTTGGGCTCTTCAATCATTTTTAAGAACGTAAAAGGGTTCTGAGACCAAAATGTTTGAGAACTGCTGACCTAAGCTTTTTATTCTAAAAACACTCACAATGTGTTTTTAGATCCCTGCATGGCTGTTGGTTTACCTTCATTTTATTTTTTAGTCATTTTACAATGTTTTTATATGTTTTAAGCTTATCAATAGAACCATTCAGAGAACTTCAACAACTGAGTGGTATAAAATGCATTAAACAAATATATAAACAAATAAGATTAAAAGATCTTTAAATATCTCTGATCTTTGTGAGGTCTGCCTTCAATGTTTTAAGTAAGGTTGCAATCCTATACACACCTACCTAGGAATAAACCCCACTGCATATAGTGGAGCTTACTTTTCAAGGAACAGGCAGATATTGCACTGTAAACCAACTAATATGCTTCTACCTATGACAGAACTAACGTTAAACATTAGTGGGCTATCAATATATTCTTTTAAATTCATCATACCACTGAATTTCAATTCAACTCATTTCCCCCAAAACATTAGTAGAAGAGTCAATTGAAATCCAGCTGACACAAACAGAAATCAAAGGTAACGTATAGCTATTAGCCACCCTTCACCTGTCAAAAGGTAATTCCTGTGCTATCAGATGCAGTTTCTGGATAATATCAGCTGCCTCTTCAATCTATAAGGAAAAGACATAAAATTTACTGTAAGAGAGAACTATATCTGAGATTGTTTGTTCCCTGTATTCAGTATCTTCCTTCATTTGTCTGCCATCTCACTTATTTTTAAAAATCAGAAATATTTGGAGAAGTATTCCACAATGAATTTCTTTACTGAATATTTAAATAGTCCCTCAAAATCAACTTGCAACAAATTAATTTTTTAAAACATGTCTTCCTGCCTTATTTATTTATAAAATCTATAATCATCTCCTTTCCTGCACATATAAGACCTAAAATCTTTGTGGGACATTTCCAGCAGCTTCAGTTCCTACATAGCCTATCCTTTTTGCATAGCTGTTGCCTCATTTATTTCACTGTATGGGGGGGGGCGCGGTTGAGCAAAATATGTTTCTTTGACCCCATAGATAGTTCAGGAGTACTGCTAAAAAAATTTTTCAAGATGATAGTTCCAGATCTAATACAAGAGCCAGCATGATTAAAGGAACACACTCTGTTCCGACATGCTTAACTCATTCAACCACTAATCCAGTCTAGATTTTCTTACCAATGTTTTTGGCAGCACACAATCACACTAACAGGGCCAAAATTGCCATTTGGGGAACAGGAAGTTAATATTCTTTATGAATAAAGTCGCTCTGATCTGATTAGATCAGATTAGGATCTGATATTGATGCAGAATCAAGAAATATGCCGCAGAATAGCACTTGGTAGAGCAGCAATGAAGGCCTTGGAAAAGATGTTCAAATGCTATGATGTGTCTGTACCTACAAAGATCAGAATCATGCAAGCAATAGTATTCCCTCTGACACTCTATGGAAGCGAAAGTTGGACTTTGAAGAAGCAGGATAGGAAGTGTATTGATACTTTTGAACTCTGGTATTGGCGAAGGCTCCAGAGAATACCACAGACAGCCAAGAAAACAAACAAATGGATTATCAAACAAATCAACCCAGAGGTCTCACTCAAGGCATAAACAATCAGGCTTAAATTATCCTACTTCAGACACATTATGCAAAGATCTAGCTCTCTGGAAAAGGCTCTAATGCTGGGAAAGGTAGAAGGAAAGAAAAGAAGAGGACAACCAGCAGCAAGGTGGATGGACTCAGTCATAGTGGCAATGAGTACACCATTGGAAGACCTGAAGGACCAGGTTAGGGATAAATCATCACAGAGAAAATCAGTGTGGTCACTAGGAGTCAAAAATGACTTGATGGCACATAATCATTCAATCAATCGATGCAAACAGGGTGCTGGAGAGGTGAGAACCACTATCTGCTTCTTCAAGTCTTTTTCTTTCTGGCTGACTTAATCAGCCAGGGATGACTGGTCCCATGGTTAAGGCGGATAATTAACACTTCCTTGTTGGAGAGGTGTGTTCCTCCCTGTCTAAAGGAGGCAGTGATGCCCATTCTTAAAGAAACCCTCCCTTGACTTGGAACAGCTGGAAACTTTCTACCAGTCTCAGAAATACCACTGATGCCTAAAGGGATTGAGAAAGTGGTGGCCTCACAACTCCAAGACATTTGTAGAATGCTGATTATTTGGAGTTATTTCTTAAAAAGTCAGGCTTTTATTTGAAATACAGAACTAAGACTGTTTTGATTCCAACAAAGAGAATATGTGTAGCTCAGGGTTGAACTTTGGAGTCCTTGGGGTTCTCTGAGCTTGGTTGTTTTCTTGCAAGTGTTTCATTACCTGGCTAGGTAACA